TTCAAAGGTGGCTTTATTTGTTATACATATATATGAAATTTGTTATATTAAAACCGTAATAAGAACCAATAATAATTGAATTTCAAAATTTCAAACAACACATGGAATAGCTAATACTCTTTAATGTTTAAATAAAACATATTCTGTTAGGATCAACATACTAGTATTAAAAATTGCAATAAGTTAAAAAACCATATTATTTTAAAATATTTGTTGACTTGAGTCTTTGTTTTATATTTTTTCTTTTAAGTCTTTTAAATTTATCTTTTTACATGATAAAAAAAAATACTGGCTGTTCGCCTGCAGATAATGTTGTATCTAGTATTTAAAAAGAAAAGAAAAACGAGTATCCAAATTAATAACATTTTTTTATATATACCTACGAATAGATTATTTTGGCAAAAACATCTTAAATGTATACCTTAACTAACAACTTAATAATTTTAGGTTTTTAAAATATAATCACATCTACGAAATATAAATATTAAACGACATTATCTTTGTTAAATTGTTACGTACTCGTATATAATATGGGTAAATTTTTAATTTAATTTATGCGATATGAGTTTTCTTCACAAAATTTAAAATTTTTACCACCAGATCACTCATTTAATATAGTAATTTCTAAAGTAATTTTTATATTAGCTTAATTTATTACATTTGTATATTAGAATGAAAAAATAGAGAATTGGTCATAATTCTTAAAAAATTATGTACATGGCTTTTATATATATATATATATATATATATATATATATATATGTATAGAATTATTGTAAGAAAGAAGTTTTATATGTAAAATCATTGATAATACTTATATTTACCGGGAATCATAAAGATTACCTATTCTAATTATATAATATATTATTTCAAAATTAATCGAGTATTTTTATTTTTATTTTTTTAACTGATTGATTTACCGCGGCATATTCGAAAATAAAATAATGTATTATAGTAGATAATTAAATAAAATGACTTACATGTTTATTTATTATAATATATACATCTATAATAGTGATTAATTGGAACGGTTTTGATTGAGGTTATTCGAATACATTATCTAAGTAGATTTAAAACATTTACAATACAGAAGTATGATGACAGGGGAAATACAGTAGCGTAAATACAACTTACATGTAATTGTTCAAAGGTCATCTATTTAAAAATATTATAATTATTTTCCGTTGAGCACACATTTATTTAGAAAAATATAACATAATTTAACAACATTAAATTAGGGATGATTTTAAATGATATATTCTAATAATATACTTGAATATTATTATATAAACACAAAAGTAAACGTACTTCTTTATTAGATTCAATAAGTACTAGACGGACTTACTACATAATAATTAACAATATACGATTATTTCGGATGTTGATATATAATTTGCATTATTATTATTATTATTATTATTGGCAATTGAGTTAAGATATTATTTATTAAGTATAGATTTTTATATTATTTTATTTTAACAATTAATTAAATAACTTATAATTTGTTAAAAAGTATAGATTTTAAAATGTTGAATTATATTAATTAATTTTTTTTAAATAATAAGTTACGATTTCAGTAAATATTTGAAGGGCTATGGGTAAAAAGAAAAATAGTTAAAAAAAGAAAAATATCTGATGATTATATTATCTTGTCTTTTATTTTAAAAATTTTAAAAATATAATTTAAAATTTATTCATTTTATTAAAAATTAGTCGTATTACAACAATACATTTTTTTAAATTATTTCGTACTTAATCTCTTAGTTTTTTGAATTCTGAAACTACAAAACTGTAATACTAAACAGTTAAGGAATATTGACTATTATAGTTTTTCTCCATAGTCTTTCATTTGTTTCATATCTTGATATTCACATATTAATACTTACGAATTGCTATTTGATTACTAATTCTATGAATATGTGGGTACAATTTTTGCTAATTTTCATCAAAAATATTTAATTTCTCCAAATAATATGAAACATATACGATCATTTCTTATTTTATAGTTTTGGGCATACTGTGGTACCTAACTGTGGTTTTACATTCAAATGTAACATCTAACACGATTAAGATTTTAAGTTTAAAAAGTTTAGTTCAAGACCTTAAACACTAAAAGAATTTATAATATTTAAACTGTTTTATATTTTATTTATCCATATTTGATATACTTATTAGGTACTGGAAATATTGATAGAAATAACTAGTAACAAATTATTATTGTTGTTGTCACCTTGGAGAAATTTGTTGTTTATTTATTATAGTTTTATTTATCTAGAAATTTCTATTGTTGTCTAAGAGCATTTTAATTATGTTGTAGAAAACTATGTATACATTCACTAAGCATGTATACAAAATTATAAAAATACATTATGATAATGTACTCTGTATCAATATATTTTAAAAGAGTATATTATCAAATTGTGTTTAATGATCCATATAATATTATCAGAAATAATATCAGGAGTATTTGAGATGCAATTGTAAGGCAAAGTGTGGATCGAAGAAATGTAGTTGTAGATCCTCAGGATTTTTATGTAACTCAAAATGTCATAATAGTTAATCTTGTTGCAACAAATAATTTATAATGTGAAACAAAATAATGTAAGGTGAATTTATTAACCCTTTGAGTGCCGAATTAATTTGTAAAAATTATTTCATCATTATTCCTCTTTTTTTTTTACAAAATGCCAACATTTACATAAAAAAGATAGTGCATGTCAACATTCACTAGTGACTATCTATATCTAAGGAGAAATGAACATTAACCAGAAGTTTCGATGAATGTCTTCATTCAATTTTCAAATTGCAAATCATCAAATTTAAAAATAATATAAGATTTTTCGTTAATCACTAATCAATAATCATTCTACTAAAAACTAGAAAAAGTGAGTATCTAATATTGATTACGTTATCTCTGAATGCTCAAAAATGAGAAATCTCTCTAAAATCCTTTATAATTAGACAAAATTTAAAAATTATATCGATTGAAATTCTACGTACATAATAAATTTCAAAATTTAATATGAATTATAATAATAATGAATAATATTAACGTATCAAGGTTTCCGTTTTTCCAGTACAAATTTAAAATCAGTAATAGTTCATTCTAAGAGTAGAATTTATTAAGATCAAGTATGCTATTTGTATTTTTGTCTAAAAATGATTATAATTTTTAGAAATCATCTTTTTTTCTATTGTTATTATTTTAGAAAACACCTGTTTCTTAATTTTTGTCGAGTCATCAGAGATTTATAAATGTAAATTAATCTTTTGTTTTTAATAATATAACTAGTTTGAAATGTACTCGTGTACAAATAAAGCTTATAATATTCGAAAAATCCTATTTTTTGGTAATTTTCTTAAGATGTTTAGAGTACAATTAGTAGTATAAGTATACATGTTAAACGAATCCAAATTATTTTTTTAATCATTTGTTTCATTTGACGCATAGTTTGAATTTAGTTTTTGAATGTCATTTAAAAAAAAAAATTAAAAATGGCCACAAATTTTTTTTTAAATTTTATATATTTTAAAAATATTTTCTGAAAAATCTAAATATATTAATTAGGTTATATATATCAAATAATGGTTATAATTATTTTAGTTAAAATAAAAAAACATGTTGTACTATAATAATATGCACACCGGTATCTACGGGAAAAAAACTGTATACGCAAGGGAAGAAGCGGAGAGTAACGAAAATATTTGTTGTAGACGTGGTTTTGCACGAAAGGAGAGATGAGGAGATATTACCTACGAGCCTTCGAAAAAAATTCAGAAAAAAAAATTATTTAACGTCGCGGTGATTATACAGTTGTACAAGCAATACGTGCGTGTGGACGGACGACCGGCCGTGCGCATAATGCAGAATGTTGAGCTATTCGAACACACCATAATAATAATAATGCCGACCTAGTGTGAGATGTTTATGAATCTTCGTGTTTTACATCATTTGATACGAAATAAAATCAAAACGCTGAGAACTGAAACTCAATAAATGTACTCAAAAATTTGCTTCATTAGGTTAGATAACGATAAAACATTTTACATGCAATGACATTATAATATTTTTCCGGATATTCTGTGTTTTATTGTAGAACGTTTATTTCTTAGATGTTCATTGGTTACCGAAAATAATCACAAAAGGCAGCAAATGAACAACGAACATGATTTAAAAACAGGCACATAATTTTGGTACATTGGTATATTTTTCACCATATTTGAGAAATAGCGTTTTTTCAACATTTTGAACTAGAATTTCAAACATGCTCTTTACCGTGTGCTAAATGTAACAAGTAATTTATTCAAGATATTTTTGTTGGAGCAAAAAACGTTTTTGTTAAAGACGATTTTTTGATTCAATTTCAATATTACTACAATAATTTTATAATAAATAAATACACTTACGGTACATTTTGTTGTTTATGAAGTTGTATAGTATGTTAGTATGTTAGTTTAAAACTAAAAATATTGTATGTGTTGTAATAATTTTACAATTTAATAATACGGTAACAACTGAAAATGCCATATGATATATAAAGGGAAGCAACCCTGGAACGGTAGGGAAGGTCAAGGGTGAGAAGATATATCTGCCTCCTCGTCTCCACCGTGAATGCGCCATTGTGTCCCAGCACCTGAACACCCGGTCGTGTTACAATAAACTGCTCTCTCTTTTATTGTTCCGAACTCAGCGGTTAAAAATACATTTGCCGTCTACAGAGGTTCTCACGAAGTACGTATGCACACCGCCGTAAGAATACTGTTACGTTTATATTTTTCGATAAGACATTTTTCGTTTTTCTTCACCGCGAAACGATCTTCACAGTTGCACGAGTCCACACGTTACAATGTAATGGCAACATCAGTAATAATAAAAACATCAACGATTGTATTATTTTATTATCATTATTATCATGCACACACGCACGGGGCTCTCTCCCCTCCTCGCCCCTTCCCGTCCTGATCGCACACGTACGCGTACGCGCACACACATCATCCATACGGGGGCCACCGCCGCTCGTCGTCGGCTGCTGCGCGAATCCGTCGCAGCGGCGCGCGTTATTAGTGCACGTTAATCTCGGGTCGACGGTCTTGTTAATCCGTTCGTCACGTCACGCGTACATACACGTTGTCGCGATTTTTTTTTTTTTTACGAAATTGTGCACGCGCGAAACACGGTGATCGTTTGCATAAAAACATATTTATATTACCAAAATATGTATATATATTAAAAAAAAAAAATTAAATACCGTTTCGTTCGATTTTCATAACTACTGTAATATAATAGTAATATTATAGTTGTTGTTGTTATTGTTATTATTATTATTATTGTCATTATTAGCACTAATACTGTACTGCTGTATTAATACAATATTGTTTTATACTTATCGTCACGATGAACGACCGGAAGACGTATCCGTTGTCGTCGTCATCCTTACCGCCATCGTTACCACTACCGACGCAGCATCAGCAGTCACCATCGTCGTCATCGTCAACATCATCGTCATCATCATCATCATCATTATCATTATCATCACCGTCGTAGTGGTGCTGGTGGTGGTGTTGTCGCGTTGTTTTTTCAACAACAACAATAATAATAATAATAACAATAATAACAACAAAAACAACTATAACGATCGTGTGTACGCGTTCGACCGCCACGGTGAGCTACCGCAAGAAGGCGGACCCGCGGTAAATGCGCGTGGCCGCGGGTGGCCACCGGTTGCCGGATGTCGACGCCATGGGAACAGCTGATCAGCTCGACGATGACGCCGACCACCGCGGTGGCGGTCAAGTTGGCCGTCACGGACGAGCCGCCGGAACCGACGGATCCCAACGACACTGTGCTGCCCGGTGGCTCGGCGGGCGGCAGCGGTTCCAGCGGTGGCATTTTTGGTACCCTGCACAGACACATACCCATACTGTCCAGGCTGTCGCTGAACAAGACGGACAAGGCGCCCTGCAGGTCAGTCAAGACGGTTATCCTGGCTTGCGACTGCCATTTTGCCATCCCATATCGTCCTTTTTGCCCTCACCCCTCACCCGTAGTCTTTACGCCCGTAAGGGGCACCAGACCGACTACACTAAACCATTTGATATTCGTATAAGCAATGTCTCCTGCGCGTATTGTACCCAATCGTTTTCGAGGAAATTTCACGATTAATCGTCTCCACGTGATTAACCTTTATTACCGTCTAAATTTATAAAAGTATTATCACGTATGCTACACTTGAAATACACTAACGGTTAGGTCTTTTATTTGAAAAACGATTGGAATAGTTTCGAGGCTTTTTGTCGTGGAGCAATCTAAACGTTATCTTGAAAAACGGTTGAATCGTGAATACGTCTTAGAAATGCTCGAAAACGATGTGTTTAATTTACACATTGATCGTGCATTCCGATTGATTTATCGCCAAGTCATTCGTAATTTGACATTTAAATCATGTAGATTGTAAAGCCGGAAATTTGTCTAATTGTTGTATACGTGCATGGTGTATACGTGCAATTTACAAAATAATGATGACAGCGACACTATTACATTGTGATCCTAATGACCCTTTTCTCCCCTTTTTTTATACCATCTATAATAAAATTTGTATAATAAAACATTTTTCGATAGGAAAATCTATAGGGAACTAAATTGAGTATCAAAAGATTAAAAAATTATTTACTTACTCATTTCATTAAAAAAATTGGTAGTTTAATGTCAAGGAAAAACAGTATACGATTTAATGGCCAATAATTTATACATTTTTAAGCATGAATACCAATCGGTTTTTTATTCATGGTATAATTATTGGTATTTTGAATTGTATTGAATTTTTTTTATAAGTGTCGTTAAATTTTTATTTGTCCTTATTTATTTAATATTATTTTTCAACCAGGTACTTTTATAAAATATGTCATTAAATAAAAATAGTGATGCGACATAGTTGTCAAAGTTTTTATAATTTTCTAAACAACTTATTATAAGTTATTATAATATTATTTTAAGTCTTATTAGCAATTTATAATTTTAATATAATTTTAAAATTATGGAATTTAAATTAAAATATCTTTCATGCATCATGAAATACATGTAAAATGTGTATGTTAATTTCGAATAACAGATTATTTAATAATATTATATCATATACTATTATACAAAAATGATTACGATTACTATAATAGTTACGTTGATTTACTGAGCATTGTTTTATTATTTTTAGATTAGTAATCTAAAATTCGTTTTACAGACAACAAAATTAAATTCATAAGTGTGCAGTAATGATTTCATTATTTTATTTTATGAAGGTAGCACTGTAGTGTCTATCGCTTTTAAAAAAATAACACGTGCAAAATCATTAATGTATTAATTATGCCTAAAATGTACAATTTTTTCACAGCATGATATTTTTATGTCTAAGGTCATTGACGTATAACATATAAGCGTGTTTCTATCGTTTTCTATGAAAAAATTGTTTCATTAATGAATATTTACAAATTCACTATTAAAACAATATTATAATTTTTTAATAGATACATATTTCAATAGGTATATTTTTCTTCTGAACTAAAGGCTAGTCTTATCACAGATAAAATTGACTTCCACTTTTCTATCTTTAATTGCAAACTCCATATGTGAATACCCTATGTATCTATGTAACTATTTCTCCTATGAATATCTTTCTGAATCTTCCTCTTCTTAAGAGTTCACTAAATTCTTCCTTTTAGTATGATGGTTATGAAGGGATTATTAAGTGTCCCATACATTTTCCGCTTTTTAATATAATTTAAAGTAAAATTTAATGCAAAAATGGATTAGTTCTTCATTCAATGTACACCTTTTTACATTTAATTAAACTTTTCCTTTAGATATACATTCGAATTTATTTAACTGGATATAAATCGGTATCAATTGCTGTAATTAAAGGAATTATTACTGTGAATATTGCTCGTACAACTTCCTGTTAATATCCATACTTGCTAATAACAATAAAATATTTTTAATTTTTACAAAATAATTTATGAAATAATATTGTACTTTTTTTTTGGTAATATGATGTAATGTATAATAAGTTATTATTAATAACGTTTAGTAAAATAAAAGTAAGTACATACATTTTACTGTAGAATTCCGAAAAAAAATGTTGTTCAAAATAAGGATTAAATTTGAATAATACTATTAAAAAGTATATTTTTGTAGAAACACCTATTTATAAAGGATTTATAAATTTAAAAATTGTCCTATGATAGCTTTACTTAAAGTACTTATTTCTAAATCCAAGTATATACTAGATTGAATTTTTTAGTTCACTTGAGTTTTTGGCACTTAATTTTTAATTAAACGAGGTGGAAGACGAAGAACTGGTTTTAATAGACGTAATATAATTTACCGTTGTAAACATTTCCTATCTAATAAGTAAAACGTAATATCAACAAAAAATGTTTTCCAAATTATTTTAATTCGTATTATATTGTTATTTTTACTATAGTTTTTTTTTAATTAATTTGTATTGAATTTCAATAGTTTTTTACGCATCAACAATGTTGCTGTTATTAAATATTACATTCATACTCTGCCATTTTCAGATTAACATTTATTGAAACACTTATAGACTCATAAAATTAATAATATAATAACTACTTGCTTATTTTATATTTTATAGGCATGTAGTATCAAGTATATCATGGACGTAATGGACGTAAAGGACTAATTTAGATTTTTTTGCGAACATTAATAAATAGCCAAATTGACCCTCCTACACTATTATCTTAAATACTTCTTAAAGTTTTTGTACTTCACGTTTTTCTTTTTAACTTCTATATCTTCCATTAATGTTAGGATAAAAACGAAAAATTTTTGAAATATCATCAAATTTCGACATCTTGTTGAATTGTTTTTGTTTACCTACTTAAACAAAATTTTTTGTTTTAGTTGATATTAATTTTTTAAAATTCAGTCATTGTATAATTTATATATACATTTGTTTCTTTTATTATTTTATGTTCAAAAATAAAAGTAATGGGAAATTAATAAGTAAATATTACTTAAAATTAAATAATTAATAACTATCTATATTTTAAAATACTATTATTCAACAAATCTTTTGATAAATTATTATGCATGGTGTAAACAAAGATGTTACATACATAAATTTGTAAAGAATCATAGAATAATTAATTTGTTCATGCCGATTATACGTTATGCTTAAGTCAAAACTAATACCTATTATTCTAGCGCTCAACATTTATCGTGCGAAAAGAATATAATTTTTATAGTCTGCTTAGTAAATGATATTTTACGATTTCTCATTTTATTTTATTGCCTATGACCATAGAATATTGCACTGTTTTGTTTCTTTTTTAAATGTATTTTATTTTTTATTTTAAACGTGTAAACGATTGTATGGTACTTGTTTTATTTAGAATGGTCATCGTGTTCATATATTATCTACAAGTATTAAAAAAACAGTACGAACATATGATGATAGTACTCAAATAAAAAATAATACACGACTAAATTTATAGTTTAATTTAATTTAAGTATTGTAGCCATTTAACTGATTCGTTGATTATTTTTATTGCGGAGAGATATGTATGATCCATCCCTAACCTACAGAAACTCTGTGCAGCGCTTTATCGACTTTGCCGTTCAAATTTGTAAAAAGGTAATTGTAACTTATAAGTGAAAATTGTATAAATTATAGTTAGTCACTTAATATACAAAAGCCCGACCTTGTGGGTATCATCGAAAAGGGCATGAACCTACCTCCGTTTTGGCGCAATTAACAAAATTACATGTTACAAAAATACATAGCATACACGTATAAAGTGTGTTCGATATCACTGTCAATACGAAAGCTTTTATTAATACGCACACTCTTTAGTATTATAATAATATGCATTCCCAATTCTCGTAGATTGCAACTACGCACTAATAGCTATCAGAAATTAGGATAACATGTGACTGTTATGAATGAAGTTTGCACTGTGTAGTAATGTATTATCAGTAGTATTACTAAGGTTGTTGTTTTTATTGGAAGAATAGAAATGTGCTGTGGCAGATTTTGATAGGTTAATATTAATTTTTTTTTTTTACATTGATAAATAACTCGTTTATTTTTTCGAAAAAAAACATTTGTACACAATAAAGTTTATGTTATATAAACAAATTGGACCTTTGATAGACAAAATATAAATATACATGCGTTTATAACCATTCGTCTGGTAGGTGGACCGGCGTACTAGTGCACTGTTATTGATGATGAGTAATTGCGATAATGATAGGTTTGCCGACAGCAGTCTCACAACAACGTATGTGTTCATAAAAATAATATAATCAGTCATGAGTTTATAAGGTTTGCATTTTATAAACTATTGCCTGCATTGCCGGTTTTATAAAACTCAACACAATAATTATGTATTTAAATCTTACCAAGAAAAACGAAAGTCGATTATTTACTTTAATGCTTTTATTATTATATATGTATATATATATATATACATATATAAGGTGAATTCCTTAGAGAGTAGGTATATAAATATTTTTTAAATGGTTATTGTGATAGGTTCATATTTATATTACCCTCTACGTATAGTGATTAGTACTTAAATATTGTGTGGTCGTGGAATGTGAATTCTGTTTTATTTTATATCTTACTTCCAGTGCGGTAATCTGAGAGTGTAAAAGTTTAATTATATAATGTGCTCAAATTATTAACCACTATAATATTAAAAATCTTCAAACAATATTTTAAATTTTAGAAATGAATTTATAGAATTTAAATTTTATTAATCTTATACGAACATTTAAGCAAATTATATGAATATTTTCTTAAACCAGTATACATCCACTACCCTTGGAAGATTTAGAATAAATGTGTCTTAGTGCCAAAAATAATATTAGTCAATTGAATATAATAATATATGATACAAAATATTGGCCATCGAAATTTTTTATAATTGCTAATCTTTATTTTAGGT